AAAAACCAAACTTGGCCATTATAACCAGAGTTGAGTAAGGGAGTTAGTTACGTGTGGGGAAGGTGTTAGCACCCCACAACGCCCCTTTCGGGTTCCCTATGACGGATTCATTCATAAAGTGAAGATTACGAGAAATTACGCTATTACCCTATTTTATTGCATGATATTAAAAATGACTATCTACATGACTTTATTTCATATTGCATACATAAAGCAATAAATAAAGCAATAAAAGAGAAGAGAAGTGAAAAGAACCTCCGTAGCAAGCTTTGTATTGCAAATCTTTAACTGTGAAGATGCGTTTTGGCAATCCCCCGCTCTACAAAGACTCTCCTCCCCGAATACAAGATCGACTCTACTAAATTTTAAAGAAGAATCGAATGCTGGAATACAATTCCTTAACCGATTGTTACCTTTTTAAGGCAATCAGAGAGTTCATTCGAAGTAGGGAGAGAAGACAAGTGCTTAGAGTTGTCTGGAGTCCGAAAAAGTAGCAAATGAGCCTCCTATTTATAGTTTTCGCGGTCTGGCAGCTTGGGACGGCCGTCTGGAGCTTGGAAAACAGGGACGGCCGTCTGGGGAAGTTGGGACGGCCGTCTGGGATTTGGGACGGCTGTCTCAAGCCTCAAAACCAGTTGGGACGGCCGTCTGGAACTTGGGACGGTCGTCTGGACTTCTGGGACGGCCATCTCGACTGTTTTTGCCAGATTTTGTGTTCTAGGACCCCCGGGAAGCTTTCCTTTCTTTATTCGGACGTCGATTGATGCCGATAAACGTCCATTGAAGCTTTATCTTCATATAGGAAGTCTTCTTGGCCTATATTGAGATGCCGGGCAAGCTTTATCTTGTTATAGGAAGTCTCCTTTGCCTTTATTGAGAGGCCATACAAAATTAGGGGTCTACAGTAATTATCCGATGACGAGCTTCAAATCACTTTGGTAGCACAAATATTTCACCCTCATTTCTTTGGCGAGCGTGAGGCCAACAATAAAAGTTTCATATTCAGCCTTATTATTGGAAGTGGGGAACTCAAATCGGAGAGCTTATTGTAATATAATGTCATCGCGGCCTTCGAGCATTATCCCTGCTCCGCTTCCTTTTTTGTTAGATGAATCATCAACACTTAGGATCCACCATTCATATATTTTCGAGTGGGGGTAGCTTGACCAAGAAATCTGCGAGGAATTGAACTTTCATTGGGCCTCTGCTTTCAAAACATTAAGTTAAACTCAGAGAGTTCGAGTAATCATGCCACCATCCATCCGACCATTTCTGATTTTTGTAGCATCTGTTTAATCAGATATTTCATTTTTACCATTATGTTGAAGCTTTAGAAATATGGATGCAATCTCTGAGTTGGGTTAAGTTGACTAGGGCTAGGACCAACTTCTCAATTGCTAAATAACATCGCTTTGAGGCTTGTAGTACTGAAATAGAGTAGGATTTGTTGTTTCTCACTACAATGGCTGAGCACAAAGCTAATGGCTGACTTGGTTACTGCTAAGTACAAATACAAGGTTAAGCTTGGTGAAAGACTTATTAAGATAGATAAAGACACAATATAACTTTTTGAGTTGAAATATGTTTTACATTTCTCAGTCCACTTCAAGGTTTGTGAGTTTTTCAGCAATTTAAAATGTATATTTTTCTCAAATAATTTGGGTAGGAAATGTGTCGATGCCGCCAACTTCCCATTTAATCTTTGTTTGTTCTTCACATTCTAAGGACTTTACATGTCGAGAATGAACTTACATTTATTTGGGTTTATTTCGATGCCCCATTAAGTGAGCATGAATCTTAAGAACCCACCTCTACCCATGTCGAACACAAATTTTCCTAAGTTGAGGCACATATTATATCTTCTTACTTCATTGAATACACGTTGTAGGTGGTCAAGGTGGTTAGGTTGATGTTTCAATTTGATCACTATGTTGTTCACATAAACTTTCATAATGTTTTTGATAAGATTTTTGAAGATCCTATCCATTAGTCGCTCGTAGGTGGCTCTTACGTTCTTTAATCTGAAAGGCATTACCATGTAGCAATAATTCGTACCTTTGGTGATGAAAAGTCGTCTTTTCTTTGTCCAGGGGTACATTTGCAAATGGGTTGCATCTAGAGTAAGCATCTTAGGATGCCTTTCCCGGATGCAAGTCTACTAGTTGCTCAATACTAGCCTTTCAGGCTAACACTACATTAGCTAACCATGTGTTATAGGTTACTTCTCGAATGAAGTCGACTTGCAATAACTTGCCTACTTCTTGGTCTACAACTCGTCTTTTTTCTTTTTCTAACTTGCGCTTTCGTTGGGTTATGAGTTTAGTCTCAACTAGAATTGACAATTTGTGTTATATTATATTAGAATCAATACCTGACATGTTGGTCATGGTCCAACAAATAGGTCGACATTCTTAGCAACACCTATTCAATCTTTTTATTAGAGGTTGTGTCTGTTGCATGGTCGATGTGTGTGACTTGTGTCATGTATTTTTTGATTTGGAAATTGGATATATCTTTGTCGAAGCTAGGTCATGTCTTGTCCACCTCTATTTATGGATGAGAACTTTATTGTGGCCATAATTCTGGTAGTAGGTACACAATTTAGTTTTGTTCATGTTAAGTGTCATGAAGGACTACTAAGATAATGTCATCAACTCCTGCTTACAAGCTTTTGTTATACTGACCTCGCGCAAAACATTCAAGGGTGTGTAGTTCATACTTTAATCACCTTGTGCACTTGTTGGCTTGATTTTATTTATTGTTTGGTCAAGTTTTTCTTCTCTCCTCTTTCTTCACTCACTATTTTCTTCTAACTGAATATTGTTTGATGTTTGAGTTCCCAGCTTGTTCATATCTTTTGACAATTTTTAGATATAAACGCTCTAAAAATGATCCCATACGCAGTTCAGTCATCATGGTATGCATTGTCACTATTGGTTCTAAGTTTAATATTATGAGGCTAACAACGATAAACTTGTCTAGGAACTAACACATTGTCTCCTTCTTCCCTTTTTTGTTGTTCTAAAAAGTCAATGAATCGTTATATGAGGTAAATTTATTACAAACCGAGCTCTAAGTCTACTTGCCAAGTCATCAAAAGAAGTTATTAATTTCTTTGATAGATCGTAATATCTTTGGAGAATAACTCCTTTAAACATAGTAGGAAATATCTTACATTTGAAAGAGTCTTTATTTGAATATACCTCGACATGAGTGAAGTATGATTGAATATGCTCCTTGGGATCTAATGTCTCACTACAAGAGTCAATGGGAGATGTTCTCTAATATTGGGGAAGGGGATCGTCAAGTAAGAATGTCACAAACAGGTGTTTGTACCTCACATGTGTTTGTGTAGTTGCTTAAGTTAACAAACTCAAAAATTTTTCCTTATCTTTTTAAATTCTTCATTTTCTTTCTTGGTACGAGTTTAATTCTTTGAAGCTCAGAGTGCTCTGAATGTGAATGAGATTTTATGCTTGCTGTTTTATTCTTCTTTGAGGTAGTTTCTTTTTATCTTTCGATTTTTTATGACCTCTTTCAGCTGATCGCATAAGACCTTCAATTCTTTTTAGTAATGCTTATGATTTTGATCGGTCTTTTCTTGATGAGCGATGAGAGTAACATGCATCTTCAAATTTGTTTATTGTTAGACGTCTACTATGTAATCCTTGAGGACGTTAATGATAATGAATGATTCCATATTTGATAGAAAAAAAAATTGGTTGCTTTGTATAGTCTCTAGGTATAATCGACATTAAATATTTTTACTTAAATATGAAAGACCTAAGTTCCTTAATATATATTTTAAGTTATTATGATATGTTAACGAGGATATAAGTAAGTAATGAATAATATGAAATAATTAAATGAACACTAAATCTTTTTATAAGATAATATCAAACATAAATTCTGAAAATTATAAAATATTTATTTTTATTTTAATATATATATATATATATATATTTATTATTTTAACCAAATCTTCAAAAATCATATAATATTTATCACTTATTTAGGCTAGAACAGGTGGATATAGGTTAATGCAAATCATCTAATAGAATCGGATCGGTGTTGATGTACGTTTTGATCTACAGACTATAAAACCAAATAAGATATTACAATGAAAAACAGTATATCTATATTTGACTACTAAACTGCTGATTTTAACCTTCATAAACTGTGCAATGTGACAAAGTAATCAGTCAAACGAAGTCACAACTTCACATTCATACACACTTGTCATGCTTAAAAAGAGAGTTTGACCAGAAAGTTTCATTTTGTTTGTAACTTCTGACTCTATCTATCTATAGTTAATCAATTTATGTGCTATCTTCTGCTTCGAGATTGCTCTCTGTATTTATATGCAAGAGTCTCAATTAAAGTCACAAAATTAAAACCAGAAGCACAAGACAGCAGAATAATCCAACTTACAATAGGTGCATATTTTAAATTCAGGGAAAAAAAAACAGATAAACAAAAGACGGTGAGTAAATTGTTTAATAATTTCTTCCTATGTCAATATAGGATTTTTTAACCATTCATTTTGATGTAATTATTTTTCAAGACTTTTAAAATTTTCTGCAAAGAAATTAGTTATCCAAACACAAATAATATTTGTAATCTCTTAAAAAAGTACGTAAAAATTATTCCTATAAAAATTATGTCAGCTTTATAACACATTATATTTTATCTTTAAGACTTAGTAAGAAATTATAAGAATAAATCAACATAAAAACTGACATGTCTAATTATTTATATTTTTTTACTTAATTACAAATAATATTATGAAATTGATGATACTTCTATTTAAAAATATGTTGGTTTAAAAAGATTAAAAAAATAACCATTACATTTTTTAAAACTAAAAAATAATATATGGAATTAAAAACACATTTAGGTGAAAGTTCATATGATATATAGAAAGAGGATAATAAAGAGAAAAAGGTAGAATGGTACCTAGGAGGATCTAAAGCTGTGTTGTCGGCAAGGTGAGTTATGTTATGGGGAGAGTGTCTTCTCCCTCACTCCTCCCTCTCCTCTTGTTTGCAAGAGTTGCAGGGCTTGCAGTGGCAGTTCTTGTCCTCATCTGGGCCCTTGCCTTCAAATCTAGCTTCCTCACTCCCTCACTCTCCCAACAAGACCTAATCTATGCAGTACACACCACCTCTTCTGTCTTTCTGCATTAACACTTCAAACCAACTTACCCACTTTAAACAACTTCCTTTTTCTCTAATTGTTTGTAGGTTCTTCATCCTCTCCTCATGGTCATTGGCTTCATCCTCTTAAGTGGAGAAGGTACCTTAGCCTTTTGGTTTTCATTTCTTTTATTTTTCAGCTGAAAAGAAGATATCTTGGGTGTGACCACTTAGTGACTGAATTTGTGTTTTGTTAAGCAGCAATTTTGGTGCACAGGTGGTTACCTGGATCAAGGGGGTTGAAGAAATTGGTGCATTTGTGGCTTCATGGGGTGGCTTTTGCTTGTGGGATCTTTGGGATTTGGACAAGGTTCCAGGGACAGGATGGGATTGTGGCTAATTTCTATAGCCTGCATTCATGGATGGGTTTGCTTTGTGTCTCTCTCTTTGGAGCCCAGGTTTTTTCAATGCTTCTTCATCTTTCAATTTTTTATTTTTTTTTAGCTTAGTTTAAACGTTTTTTACATTTTTTTTCTATATTTTTTAATAATTTTAAAATGTCACTCTCCTTGGATTAAGTGGGTGCTAACAAAAAGGATTATTGATAATGGCATTGTGGTCCTACTTTCTTTTGAGTCCTTTAGAATGACACGTTGCGTTTCAATTCAAGTTTTTTCTTTTTCGTATTTTTTCAAAGTAAATAAAGCAGATACATTTTGCGTTTTACATTTTCTTTTTCGGGTAAAATAAATTCATTAGATTAGAGCATATCTCGCCGAATTTGAGAAAATATTTCTTTAGATATGAAATGTTTTTTTTTAAGTTTTTAAAAGTTAAATAAAATAGTGAAAATAATAAAAAATATCTTTGCATTATTCTTATCAAATTTTAAAAATAAAACTCCATTGAAATTTTGGGTACATTAATGGATTCTAATTTGATAATGTATTATAAATTAAATAATTTGTATTTAATATACTTACTCTAACAATAATCACTATTTTAGTAAACAAAGATTTTTTTTATAATGAATTTTTATTGACATCTAATATAATATCTTATAATTTTAAAAACTTTTAGATTAGATATTTTGAAAAAATATACTTCAGAATGAAAAATTATTCCAAAATGTATATCTAAAATGGTTTCTTGACCATTCTAAATTAATTATTTTGAAACAATTTGAAATTTATTATTATAGAACGAGCTTTCCAGAGAAGTTTAAAATTTAATTAAAAAAATTATTTCTGAAAAGGTATGAACACAATTTTAATATGATATTTGCCAAATAGATATAGAAACTTGTTACCAAATGTAATTAAATAAATTAGGAATAATTAAAAATTAGGGGATTCAAATTGCATAAAAAAATAAATTAAAGTAATAAATATTTTAAATTTGTGGGTTTAAAAACAAGAATATTTAAAAATTAAGGGACTTAAATTATTTATATTTAAAAAATAAGGGACTTAAATTATTAATATTTAAAAAATAAAAGGCTAGAATAGTCAGAAAAAAGTATTTGAGAACAAAACTTATGAATTTTATAAAAAGAATTAAATTATAATTAAGTCTATTTTTATATAATGAAATTAAATTGCATCGAGCATCGAACGTTGATAAATAAATATATAAACTTTTATTTGATCACAGTTTGAAATTTTGTTTCTTTCTTCAGCGTTTTTACGTTCCCAATTCCTCATAGCCCTTACCCATTATAAAGTAAAACAATTCCAGTAATTGACATAAAAAAATACTTTCTTTATAAGTTTAAATTAGTTTATTCATTAATTAAAAAATAAATTTTGAAAATATAATAAGAATTATTTTTTACAAATTGCTTTTTCGTAATTTTGTTTCTTATTAAAAAAATTTATCCAAACAATTATTTTTATGCATCTGTTGGTTATATATAATCCTTTATTTGATGTGAGGAATGCATCGGAATATTATAACTTGAGTGATGGATAACTTAGTCTTCAAGATTTGAATAAGTATTAGAATCATAGGTTTTTGAGGATGAAAAAGGAAAAAAATGACAAGATATTAATCCTTAAAATGAATTATTAGTGTAGAAATTTGAGTTGGGGAGTTAGAAAGAATGTGTTGATAATGTTATGTCCATAAAAGTTTTTGACTTGTGAATTCTGAATCTGACGTGCTATTTATTATTTGTTGTTTACGCACAGTGGTTGATTGGGTTCTGGAACTTCTGGCACCGAGGTGAGGTGCGCAGGGTGAGGATAAGGATCTTGCCATGGCATGTGTTTGTTGGGCTATACACCTATGCATTGGCCATAGCAACAGCAGAAACTGGTTTGTTAGAGAAGTTAACATTCTTACAAACAATGAGAAATGTGAGCAAGCACAGCACTGAGTCCATGGTGATTAATAGTTTAGGCTTGGGCCTTGCCCTCCTCAGTGGCTTTGTCATTTTGGCGGCTGTGTCACCTAAGTATCAAACTTTTGTACTCAGATACTAGCTCTTTCTCATCTTAATAAAATTCATTATACTGGTTTCTTGATGCTTTAGTTGGTACGAATGCTTAAATTGAGTTTTGGAGGAACCATGTTTGACAGGGGAAAGTTTTCCTCAATCTCTATGTATCATAATCCATGTTGTCAAATAAATAAGAGCTTTCTGCGTTTCAAAATCATTCTGTAGTTTTAAAACTCAGATTTTTTGTTAGCTCTTTTCTCCTACTCACATTCTAGTCCTCCAGCTTCACAACATATTATATTTTGAGTGTGGACTGATACGTTTCTTCGTATTATTTTTTCAAACTCAACTAGTCCCAAAATTTTTATTTTTTTTCAACTTCGTTTTCTTTCTAATTTGGAAGTTAAACGATTAAACTAAACAAAATTAAAATAAAATATACTATTTTAATAATTATTAATTTAGTCAAAGAAAAAACAAAAAAACTACTGTTAATAAAAAAAGAGACAAGAAAGATATTCCGCGTAGCAGTTTTGAAAGGCGAGGGATTCGTTCATGGGCATTGGGTTTTGCTAGCGGCGCTGTCACAGTTGTGGGTTACCACCGCCACTGTGTTCATTCTTTCCCTGCCCCGTCTTGTTTTTCCACTCTCAGTCCTTCCTCCACCCAAACGCACCGTTTCAAACTTCTTCCTCGATTGCATCTTCTCAGCAGTCAACACCCACCCTCTAACCCTAATTCTCCGTTCCCACCAAAATGTGGTCAGCAACATCCTCCCCTTCCTTCTTCCTTTTCCTTCCGACCACCTCCCTCTCCCTCCCCCGTTCCCTCCGCCCCCTCTTCCCCCTCCCTCGCCGCCATCTTTCCGCCTCCCTCTCTTGGGCCTCTCCCTCCCCCGACCAGCCCGATGAATTTCGCGGATGGGGCCTCCCCGACGCCCCGGCCCAAACCAACAACAAAGGTAGGATTTGTTAGGTTCTATTGGAGCCCAATTATTAACGCCAGGTTTCGTCGCTTCTAAGTTTCATGTGATGCGAAATTCTGTTGTGCGCAGTTGCTGTGTTTCCTCCTTATGCAGTTGTAGGCTTCGGCACTTCGCTCGCTCTTCTACTCGCTGTTTTTGCTGCTTCCAGGAAAGGTTGGTTACGTTCTCGTTTAAGCTTTGGCTTCAGGATGTGTCGTTTTTCGACATCTTTTATTTTTTACGAATGTTATGTGCGGTTAGGTTTTACTTTCCGATTCGGGAGGCCGTTGCCAGGGATGTGGAGTGATGTGCAGACTCGGCGTGATCAAAACGACACTCCGGAGTTTGACGTTTCTGGTGGCAGCAAGGCAACGGCGTCGGAGGCCAGCACGGAGGACTTGCCTGATACCATTACGGAAACGGGTAAATACGATAAATGCTTGGTTTTATCTATTTTGGTTGTTTGTGTTTAATCATGGTTTTTACGAATTTTGGCGAGTAATGGACCAAATAATTAGTCTTTGAAGTGAACACTGATTAGGGTCTTGAAATTATCAAAGTATCATATTAGTTCTTGAAATTATCAAATTATTACAAACGTAATGATTAAAATGATCAACGGTTGGTAATTTTAGAAACTTCATTTTTTTGGTAATCGGAACATCATGTTTTTAAGCTTGGGATTTATGAGCATGGATTAAGCTGTTTTTCAAATTACAAAATCGTCATTATAGTTTCTGAAATTACCAAACTAGTGATATCATTTTGGTCCATGAAATTACAAACATAGTGACTATTATTGTCAACGATTGCTATTTTAGGATGTAATTTGGTGCATGTAGATTTAGGGACTAATTTGGTGCATTACTCTTTAATTGTTTCTAGAAATTTTCTTATTATTTTCTTGTCATATCAGTAGCTGTAGAAAAGCCTGGGCGTGTTGTGATCCCGGTTTCTGTGGATTCTACCCAAGAAGAAGCATTGTCAATCTTAAAGTCACTGAAGGTTTGTTTTTAAAAACATGGTATTCAAATATGATTAAGAGACTAGTAGTATCTGCCCATGCGGTATTTTAGACTGTTGATGGTCTGAGGAAGTTCAAGTTCAATATCACTTTCCCCTGATTCACTATTAATGGGATCTTGGATTCATTTGATTTATGACCTTAGCTCTCTACCTTATTTAGTTCAATGTACTGGCAGTTAGAAAAAAATGCTCCTGTTATTTCCTTTTTGTTGCTGAATGCTGCTTTCTAAGTTTGTCTACCAACATACCGCAGATAAAGTGGGCATGAATCAAGATCAAGTACGGAGAAATGTTCATGTGGATAGTTAAGAGAGTAAAGAGAGTTAAAAAGAAGATTTATAATTCAGTGGGATGATATTCTCCACTCTATGATCTCATATATATAGAGGATTATAATATTTAAAACAACAACCACCAACTACTAACCACTAACTACTACCTAATAATAATTCTAACACTCCCTCTCAAGCTAGAGTATACTGTTGAAGTATTTATTAGATTAAATGTATCTTGTTGGACATTTATGAGATTAGTTGTAGATCTAGTTCCTAGAATGCATCTGTTTATCTTCTCTAGGATTAATCATGTCTCTCTATTAATTGTATCTCTGAATCTGTATTTTTATCTCCTATAAATAAGAGAACACAAGAAGATGATTTCAGGCTCTCAAAATCAGTTCTTTATTTTCTTTTTTCTATTTCAAGTTGGTATCAGAGCGGGTTCATCCCGCTCTGCCTGTCTCTGTTTTTTTTTTCTGGCATTAATCGCCGTCCGCCGCCGTCCGCCGCCGGTGTTGTCTTCTCCGGCGCCTTTTTCCTCTCTGATACTTGGGTTTGGCTCGCCTCGAGGAGCGCGACCCAACCCCAGTGTTCGCTTCCTCTATCTCTGCCTCACGCGCCGCCACGCGCCACCCTCGTCCGCGGCTTCCTCCGCGCGTGGGCCTCACGCGCCGCCCTCTCGGTGGCTGTTTTGCTCCAGGCCACCTCTATCCGGCTCGCCTCGTCGCCCTGGTGCCAGATCTGCACTTTGTTTTGTGTTCTCGGTCACAAAACGTGGTGGGTCTGCGTTTTTTCTCTCTGCCTCTCTCGGTCCTCTCTCTGACAGCACGCTGGTCCCTTCTCGTTTCCTGGAAAATGTCAGGATCTGTGTCTGTATCTTTTTCTGGGACTCCGACTATAACCACAGAAAAATTAAATGGGAAAAATTATTTGTCTTGGGCTTCCTCTGTTGAACTCTGGTTTCTAGGTCAAGGAGTTCATGATCATCTAGAAGAAGATGGAAGTACTATACCAGCAGACCAGGCTCCTCAATGGAAGAAACTGGATTATCAACTTTGTGCACTATTATGGCAATCTGTTGAACCACATATTTTGAGCACTCTTCGAGCCTTCAAGACATGTAATTCTTTTTGGAAAAAGGCTCAAAATATCTTTGCTAACGATATTCAACGACTTTATGATTCTGCTAATAGACTAGCCTCCCTTAAGCAAGAGGATAATTCCATGATGTCCTTTGTTGCTGAAGCTCAGTCACTGTTGAAGAATTAAAAATGTTCCCGGAGGCAGTAATCATTAGAAGAAAGGAAGACGAAGCTGGATAAATTCTATATGGTAATGATTCTTAGGGCTATGAATCCAGAGTTTAATCATGTTAGAGACCAAATTCTAACTGGAGAAGAAGTTCCTTCTACGGAGAGTTTAATCACAAGGCTACTTCATGTTCCTTCTATCAAAAGCAAAAACAGTCGAGAACTTGCCGATTCTTCCGCCATGATTTCCGCTCGTGGAAGAGGTAATCACGGCTCTAGAGGACGTGGTGGGAAAGGACGTCCTCGGTGCTCTCATTGCAAAAGAATGGGACATACTAAGGAAAATTGCTTTGCTCTTCACGGCTTTCCCGATAAGGCAGCCTAATACCTCAAAATCTGAAGTTGATGAGCCCAAGTTCTCTCATGAAGAGTATCAAGAATATTTAAGGATGAAATCAACTAATTTGGCTCAAGCATCTACAACACCAAATTCGTCAACCGCTTGCATTTCGCAATCTGTGGAAAGTCAAAATCCATGGATTATTGACTCAGGTGCTTCGACCACATGTCCGGTAATACCTCTTTATTTTCCTCTCTTTCATTTCCTAAAACATCCCATCTCATATCTTTAGCTAATGGATCTAAAGTAGCCTCTAAAGGAATTGGTCAAGTATCCATCTCTTCTTCTTTAAACCTTCAAAATGTTCTTTGTGTTCCTTCTTTTCCATTCAGTCTTGTTTCGTAAGCCAATTAACCAAATCATTGAATTGCTCAAGTAACCTTTAATGCCAATTGTTTTGTTATCCAGGAACGTGGTACGGGTCGACCGATTGGAGAAGGACATGAATCTGGAGGCTTATACTACCTTAGGACTAAGTCATCTCGTATCTTGTGTTGCGTCTTTATCCCCAAAACTGTTACATGAGCGATTAGGGCATCCTCATTTAGCAAAATTGAAAAAAATGGTTCCTGAACTTCAGAACCTTCAAACTCTTGAATGTGAATCCTGTCAACTAGGGAAACATACCAGGTCATCCTTTCCAAATCATTCTGAATCTAGATGTGATTCTGCTTTTAGTATTGTTCATTCAGATATATGGGGACCTAGTCGTGTTTCATCTTTTGGTTTTAGATATTTTGTTACTTTTATTGATGGGTTTTCTAGATGTACTTGGGTTTATCTTATGAAAGATCGTTCTGAACTATTGCCTATCTTTAAGTCTTTCCTTAATGAAATCAAAACTCAATTTGGAAAAGTAATCAAAGTTTTACGAAGTGATAATGCCAAAGAGTACTTTTCTAATGATTTTTCTAATGTCCTAAATTCTCAAGGCATTTTACACCAGTCCACGTGTCCTCACACACCATAGCAAAATGGTATAGCGAGAACGAAAAAATAGACATTTGGTTGAAACTGCTCGTACCTTATTCGCTGGGTGCCAATATGCCTATTCATCATTGGGGAGATGCTATTCTAACCGCATGCTTTCTCATTAATAGAATGTCATCTTCTTCTCTTGATAATAAAGTTCCACACTCTATTCTATTTCCAAAGGAACCAATTTTTCATGTTTCTCCTAGGGTATTTGGATGTATATGTTTTGTTCATGACATGTCTCCTGGCTTAGATAAACTCTTACCTAGAGCTATCAAATGTGTCTTCTTGGGGTATTCTCGTCTTCAAAAAGGATATCGGTGTTATTCTCCCGAAACCAAGAGGTACTACATGTCTCGCTAATGTCACCTTTTTTGAATCATCATCCTTCTTCCCTTATTCTATGCAGGATATTGATTCTGTCCAAAATGTGCTTCCTGTTCCCTTAGTTGAATCAGTTGTACCTCCTATTTCTGACCAAAATACTCTAGAATCAGCATCACAGCCTATCATCACCTATCAATGCAGGAACCAGGTGAACAATCCCATTCCCCAAGATGAGCCATCCATAACAGGTCCTTCACCATCATCCTCTAATACCACGACTCCTGATAACGATGATTCCAGTTGGCCCATTGCCATTCGCAAAGGTACTCGTTCTACTCGTAATCCTCATCCCATTTACAATTTTCTTAGTTATCATAGATTGTCTCCTTCCTATTGTTCTTTTATTTCCTCTCGTCTCCTCTATTACAATTCCCAAAAATGTGGTTGAAGCGCTTGATCATCCCGGATGGCGACAAGCCATGATTTCGAAATGCGTGCTCTTGATCACAAGCAAAACTTGGGAGCTTGTTCCTCTCCCTTCGGAAAGAAAACAGCTTAGTTGTCGTTGGATCTATGCTATTAAAGTTGGGCCCAATGGTCGGGTTGATCGTCTTAAAGCAAGGTTAGTGGCTAAAGGGTATTCTCAAATATATGGACTTGATTATTGTGATACTTTTTCTCCAAGTAGCCAAAATGACCACTGTCCGTCTGTTCCTTGCCATGGCCGCCATTCGTCATTGGCCTCTTCATCAATTGGATATTAAAAATGCTTTTTTGCACGGTGACTTAGAAGAAGTTTACATGGAGCAACCTCCTGGATTTGTTGCTCAGGGGGAGTCTGGTTTGGTTTGTAAATTACGTCGATCCCTCTATGGCCTAAAACAATCTCCACGGGCTTGGTTTGGAAAATTCAGCTCTATTGTTCAAGCTTTTGGATTAAAACGTAGTGAAGCAGATCATTCGAGTGTTTTATTGTCACACTGCCCTGGCAAACATGTTTATTTAATTGTGTACGTTGATGATATTGTCATCACAGGGAATGATGTCTGCTAAAATATCTCGGTTAAAAGAGCACTTGAGTAGTCATTTTCGGACCAAGGATCTTGGAAATCTAAAATATTTCTTGGGTATTGAAGTAGCTCAATCAAGAGAAGGTATTGTCATCTCTCAAAGGAAGTATGCTCTAGATATTCTAAAAGAGACAGGTATGATTGATTGCAAACCCGTGGACGAGTCCTATGGATCCAAATTTGAAGTTAATGGCAAGACAGGGTGAAGTTTTCTCCGACCCGGAAAGATATAGAAGACTGGTTGGGAAACTTATTTATTTGACGATTACTAGACCTCGATTTGTCTTTTGCAGTTGGTATTGTCGACCAATTTATGCAAGCTCCTTGTGTGGATCATTGGAATGCTATCATTCGAATCGTAAGATACATTAAAAAAGCTCCAGGACAAGGATTATTATATGAAGACAAGGGAAATACCCAAATTTTTGGGTACCGTGATGCTCGACTCGGGCTGGATCTCCTATGGATAGGCGTTCCACTACAGGCTATTGTGTTTTCATTGGAGGAAATATCATTTCATGGAAAAGCAAAAAGCAAAACGTTGTTGCCCGATCCTCTGCTGAAGTCGAATATAGTGGCAATGACGTCTCTTACTTGTGAACTTGTTTGGGTAAAACAATTCTTGCAAGAATTGAACTTCGTGAGATTCAATCTATGAAGATGTATTGTGATAATCAAG